CAAGACGGCTTATTGGCAACCCCTGCCAAATTGGTGGCGTTACACTGCAAATATTCAGTAATTATTTCGTTTCCAGGAGCCTTTTAAAAAACATCTAGTTTGAATGCTAGTACAGAAGTATGCTACAAGTCAGTTTCATAATCTCTTCTATTTTTTCCACATTTTTACTTGAATTCTAGTTAGTTAACACATTTGGTTTCAGGTGTAGAGTTTACTGATTCATCACGTCCATATAACACATATAACACACGGCGCCCATTCCAACAAGTGCCCTCCTTAATCCCCATCACCCATTTAGCCCAGCCCCCACCCACCTCTCTCCAGCAACCCTCAGTTTGTTCTCTATAGTGAAGAGACTCTTCTGGTTTGCTTCCCTCTCTTTTTTTTCCCCTTCCCCTATGTTCATCTGTTTTAGTTCTTAAATTCCACATAGTTTAATAATCTCTTCTGTGTCATGTAGTTTGTCTTTGGCTGAACAAGGTCAATATGAACGTGCCCCACTAGCTTTCTGCTTATCGACGGTAATTTTATTACATGATGTGGGGCTATAATTACTCACCAGACACATTACTAAATAATGTGAACAGTAATCATATGCTTCTGGTTACTGAATTCCCATGTTGGTTCTATTGTCAATGATAATGGCATGACACTTTACCCAAAAATCGCTCTTGGGGTGCCTGGGTTGCTCAGTCGGTTGAGCATCCTACTCTTGATTTTGGCTCAGGTCATGATCCCAGGGTCATGGAATCGAACCCCATGTCAGGCTCTGTGCTGAGTGTAGTGCCTGCTTAAGATTTTCTCTGTCTCTGTCCCTCTCCCCTGCTTGCACACGATTGTGCTCATTCTCTCTTTCTCTCTTAAAAAAAGATAGTGGGATGACTTGTTCAGGTCCATATATAGAGGAAGGATGAGAACTTGTAGATTTATGTTGCTTAGTGTTTCAATTAGCTCTCCATACACCAACCCCACCTGTAAGCATCAACTCAAAGGAATCTTCAGTCATCCAGAGAAAACATACCATACTAAAAAGCAAAAGCAAACAACTTTATTTTACAGGAGGGAAGAGTGTGCAGCTGTATTGGGGGAAAATTAGCACATAACCTTTTGCTTACCATTTTCACTCAGTTTTCTTTTTCATCCTCTGATGCCCAGTGATCTTGGAATCACAGGCTCTATCGAATGCGTACAGCAGATGCCTACGGGAGGAGTAGAAATGCCCTTGTGGAAAACACACATGCACACGCCAACACACACACAACTACGCATTGTCATTTGCAATTTGCTCTAACCTGACATTTTTTAAATATTGAAAAGTGGAGTGAGCACTGGTTGCTTTGGTCTGGAATGATGCAGATGAATGAAAATGACCTGGTGGGCTGTGGCTACGTGGTGAGGGAATCAGTCTCACCGCATACGCCTGCCCGGATTGGTTATCCCACTGCAATGCTGTCCGTGGCCACCCTGCCCAGGCACACCAAGTCCACATTCTTCTCCTCCTCAAAGAGGTCACGGGCTGGCCACATTCTGGCCTCCTGGCCACAGCCAAGGCAATGAAGTGCCAGGGCTTTGGCTGTCAGCTGTGCGGGGTACAGACACAAATGCCTGTGTGACCGAGGTGTGCTACATACGGTCCAGCACCTGTACACGCAATTATTTTTGTAGACGCACAAAGCCATGGCAAGACCTGCATCTTGTCCTCCTAGTGGCCACTCCTGGGGTTTCTTCATTTAGTCCAGTTAGTGCCTGTGGGTCCAGTGTCTAAGAAACTGACACTCAAGTGGGAATTATACTCCTCCTTTTTAAAAAAATATTTACTTATTTTTGAGATAGAGAGTGCAAGAGGAGGAGGGGCAGAGAGAGAGGGAGGGAGAGAATCCTGAGCGAGCTCCACACTGTCAGCACGAAGTCTGACGCGAGGCCAGAACCCACCAACCATGAGACCATGACCTGAGCCGAAATCAAGAGTTGGAGGCTTAACCGACTGAGCCACCAGAAGCCCAACCCCTTTTATTTTTGAAGTGCCTTCTGCCTACATGTTTTCTGTAGCTCAGACATCTTCCTTTTGCAGAGAAGCAGCAGGGGCTTGGGTTTTCTGAAAGGACTGAGAAGACAAAGGCCCTTGCCCTTGAACCTGTGCAGGTGATTGACTCCATAACAGTTGCCAAACACTAGCGGGGTGGGCGGGGTCTGCCAAGGCTGGCTCTGCTGTGTGATGAACACCTCCGACTCCAAGACTGTCTGGTTATTCTTCAAAACTGGGCATTTTTGTTTCCTGTCAGATGGTTTCTGTGAAGTGCACTGAGGTGGGAATAGATGTGACGGCCTCTGACAGTCTTCTAGAGCCTAGGACTCCATGATCCTAATGGCCAGGAGCAAGTCTTGTCGCCTATCTTCTTTCTCCTCTTGGCTCTTTAATTCACCACATTGTCTATGTCGGCTTTCCCAAGGCTCTCGCCTTTCACCTAGCACGTCCTCAGACTATCTGCATCCATCCCTGGCTGAATTTCAATCTGTCTTCACTGCCTACAAATCACCTTGATCAATGGTTTCTTGCCCCCACTGACCTAGAACTCATCTGTTACAAACCTAATACCTGTGTTCCCCCAAAATTCACATGCTGAAATTCTAACCCCCCAATGAGATGGTTTTAGAAGGTGGAGCCTTTGGGAAGTAATTAGGTCATGAGGGTGGACCTCTCATGAATGGGATAGTTTCCTTATAAAAGACATTTTGGAGATCTCTCTTGTCCCTTCCACCATGTGAGGACACAGTGAAGAGATGGCTCTCTATGACCTGGGAAGCAGGGCCTCAGCAGACACGAAATCTGCTGGTGTCTTCACCTTGGACTTCCCAGCCTCCAGAACTGTGAAAAAGAATTGTTGTTTAAGCCACGCATCCTATGGTAATTTGTTACAGCTGCCTGAACTGACCTAGACACCGTGCTTGGTAATCTCACTCTTCCTCTCTAAGCTGAGGACAGAATCCAGCTGGAGAGAAGTGCTGAGGCTAGTATCAACTTCCTAAAGTCATTGTGCCACATTTCATGGGCTGATGAACCCTTGTCTCTGCCTTGCCAGTCTGAGACCACCAGACTTACTCTCCTATTACATGTTTTAATCCAGGACAAGCAAATCCCTGGAAGGTTTTTACCTGTGAAAATGTGCATTCATTCTCTGTCCCAGAGTAGAAACCCCTTGAGGGCAGGTGTGCACTTTTCATTTCTATTTCTCTAACACCTAGAACAATGTTTATCCCCTGGTGTCAGGTTCCCCAACAAATGTTAGTTGAATGAACAGTTGTGCCTGCGTTAGCCCTACTCACTAATGGCTATTTTTCAAAATCTGTGCCCTTTTGGCTTTTCCGCACATGTCAGCTCACAAGCTCTTTGGCTCACCCTTAGAATCGGAGTTGGGTCACACGGTTGAAGTTGTGGACACAGGCGCAGAGGGAACCAAGGGAATGACAGTTTCTGACCACTTACCTGAATATGTAACAAATGCAACATAAAGTTACACCTGAGTCAGATTTCTGACAACCAAGTTATTTTTTCTTTACCGAAATGTTCTGACTTCTGTCCCTGGGACAACCTCTGAGAGCTGGAAAGGCAAGTGGAACCCAGATTCCAGGGACAAGGATAGGGGTGAGGAGCCTCCAGGTGCCCAGGTCCAGCTCATGGGTCAACCAGTGGTCACATCCTCTCAATGACCTCCCACAACACTTGAATAACCAATAGGTTCTTTACACTTTGACTGTAAGATTCTTTGCCTAGAAGCCTCTAAGTCAAGAGGCTGTAGGGAAAGGAGGGCATGAAATACTACAAAGAAATGACTGAAGTGGTCATATAGTCAAAACCCTTCACTTTACAGATGGGAAAACTGAGGGACTAAGTGAGGGACTAAGTGAAGACCATGTGGTTGTCACTGCAAAACTGAGACCAGGGGGTGTCTGGGTGGCTTAGATCAACTTCAGCTCAAGTCATGATCTCACAGCTTGTGAGTTCAAGCCCCACACTGGGTTCTGTGTTGACAGCTCAGAGCCTGGAGCCTGCTTCAGATTCTGTGTGTGTGTCTCTCTCTCTCTCTCCCCCTGCCCCGCTTGCACTCTGTCTCTCTCTCAAAAATAAACATTTAAAAAATGGTTAAAACAAAGCAAAACAAACAAACAAACAAGCAAACTGAGGCCAGAACCGAAATCCTGAGCCTTAGGCCACTGTTCATTCTGTTGTGGAGAAACCTAGCAAGTGAACTAGAGAAGCCCAGTATTGCACAGAACCTACTGTGATATCACAGACATAGATTGGGGGAGGGGGGGGCAAGAGAAGGGTAAAAATGTAGAGCTTTGGGGCGCCTGGGTGGCTCAGTCGGTTAAGCGTCAGACTCGATATCGGCTCAGGTCATGATCTCACAGTTCGTGAGATCCTGCTTAGGATTCTCTGTCTCCCTCTCTCCCTCCTCTCTCTCCCTCTCCCAAAATAAATAAATAATTTTTTTAAAGTAGAGCTTTGCATTCAGAGTTAAATTGCCATCGACTTTCAAAAGGGAAAACCTCCAGTTACAAGATAAATAAGTCATGAGGATCTGATGTACAGCATGGTAACAACACCGTGTTATGTATCAGAAAGTTGCCAGGAGAAAGTAGATCTTAAAAAGCTCATCACAACACAACACTAACAAATTTATAACTATATGTGGTGATGGACGTTAATTAAATGTATTGTGGTGATCATATTGCAATATATACAGATGTCCAATCATTAGATGGTACACCTAAAACGAATACAATGCTCTAGGTCATTTATATATCTACTTTTTTTAAGTTAAATAAGTAAAAGAAACTACTGTTGAACTCTCCTGTGATATGAAAGAGTGCTGTTTGCCTCAGTTTGCAGCTTTATCAGCATTCTGGACTTGTCTCAGAGTACGCCCCATCCGCACCCCCAAATATGTCATGCTTATTGTCTAAAGCACTGAGAGGGGCAGGACCAGCAGCCTGGCAGAGGCCTGAAGGAGGAGGGGCTGAAGGACACCCTGGAAGGGAGGCTTCCCTCTGGTGTTCGCTTGGTCCTCCTACCCACGAGATTCACAGTACTATCCTCCTCCGTCACCAGCTCACTCTTCTGCTCCCCGTGTCCCCAGAGCCACAACAGCCCTCCAGGCGCCAGCCAAGGTGTGTGGGGAGCAGGTAGGGCCGCTTCAGCGCTTCCAGGAGCCCGAGGGCCTCTGTGGGGTCGGGAGCAGATGAGGCTGGCTGGGCAGAGCTTCCGGGCAGGGGAGGCACAAGAGCAGGGCCTGAGGTGGAGCCGGATAAGGAGGGAGGCACCGTGCAGTCTCTGAGAGGTAGACTCTAGTTTGTACACGTGCTTGCTTGTTCCCCACGCTCCTGCCTAAGGGCAAAGCCACTGTGGCCACTGCTGTGGCAGGAGACTGCCAAGTCCTGAGAAATGGCCATGGCTCTGTGTGTCTGCAGCCTTGCCCAGACCACTCAGAGAACTTCAAGGAGCAACATGCTCCCGTTTCAACGCCAAGGCCTTTAAGAGGCTACGGTGGGTGCCACTCCATCCAGGTCAGTCTGGGACTCTTGAAAAATGTGCATCTGAGAAAAGCCAAGCCTTGAGCTGCACATGGGAGCCTTTAGGGTCCTACTTGTTCACAGCTGGCTATCAAAGCAAGAGGCATGGGGGCAGGGGGGTTGCATGAGCTGATTTCGGGAAGCGTCACACTGGAAGAACCAATAAATGACCAGCTCCTTTCGTCAGGGTTGGTCCTGGCTGCTGAGTAAATCCCAAAATAGATGGAGCTTAGCGAGGAGGTGATGGAGAAACCGGAAGACTCAGATGTTCCCAAAGAAGCGCAGCCTCGAATGGTCCAGACTTTGTGCTCTGGATCCAGGAGCAGATGAAGAAGACTGTGGCAGCTCTGAGAATGGTCCAAGGGGTGCTGCCCAACAGGAAGCCTAGGACCTTGCTCAGATTCCCCAGCTACCTACTTTGTTGCAAACTGGCGGTGGGATCATGTTTTCCAGGGAGGCAGACTATAACCTCATTAAATCCCTGCCATCATCATGTGCTTTGGGCTAAATAAAGCCCAATATTTCATCTTCTCAAGTGTTGGAACTAAATAAATGCCACTTAAAAGACACATATAAAGGGGAAGGGGGGCATTCTTCTCTCCCTGAACTCGATTTGTCTAGTCCTCTTGTATTTATGGTATTATTCTATTTCTTTCTCTCCCCTTCTGAATACACCTGACTTTTAAAAAATATTAAGAACGGCCTAATGAAAGGGAGAAATGCATCCTGCTTCCTTTAGCAGACTCTGGCTGACTGCAAAGAGTGTGCACAACACTGCACCAGGTGCCGGGGCTCATGTGGTGGTGAATCCAGCCCTCCAGGAACATTCTGTCTGCCAAGGAAATAGAGGGCACCTCAAGTATCAGTGCTCCAACCTAGAATGCTCTTCTGGCTATCCAGAAAACAGGACAGCTTACTGCAAGTGTCGACAGAGGAGTAAAACACTGAATCATGGAAAAGGTTCGAAGGACAGGGGAAATTTGCACTGGTGGAGATGGGAGTGTGGGGCGGGAGTTGCAACTGAAAAGTCGTTCCAGGTGGGATGAACAGGATCTAGAAAATTCCTGGTGTTGTTGTTTTACCTTTTTGGTGGGGAAGGCACGGACCCTTTTTGGATACCCAATACACACGCATTTATGTTGAATCCCAGTGGGTTCATAAACCCCATGCGCATTCAAACATGCGCATGGTTGGGTCCTGGGGGACGTCTGGCAATGCTAGTGTGCTCCTTCCCTGCTCCCTTTCCCTCCCCTCTCCGTGGCTAGTGCTCCACCCGCTGTGGACCATGAGACACCTGAAGGGGACAGGTGGCTGCTCAGCGGAGCAGGCCCCCAAGGTCTGCTGCCAGGAAGGATAGTGAGGCTGCCCTCATGCACGGCTACTGCCTGGGGACCCCCGAGTGGTTCGCATGAGGCCCCTGCCGTCCATCCAGTTGGGTGGCACAGCCCAGGACCTGAGCGTGCTGGCAGCCACCCACTGCACCTACTCTTACAGCTGGTTCATTCTCTCCACTGTCCAAAGTCTCTTCCTTTTCGTCTTAAAATATGCTGCCTGCCCAGTCCTCCCCCACTTTTCCCGCCGGATAGGCTGCAAAACTACTTTCCAACACATTTATCTTTGGAGTTTCCTTGAAGACACGTTTTGTTTAGGAGATTCCATAGTGGGGGCAGGGAGGTGAGGATCCCTCATCACCCTGCCTTCCTACGGCTTTATTTAGCCTCAGACTTCCGGCAGGAAGGGCACCGGGAGGGCCCCCTGAAAGCATCGTTTTCATGCAGAGATAAAACATAGCTGTTAAAAATAATTGAATCATGCATGGTTACAGAGTTTCTGTTTTGGGTGGCGGAAAGCTTCAGAAACAGTGGTGATGGTCGCACAAGCTTGGGAAAGTAATTAATGCCACTGAATCGTCCACCTCAAAATGGTTAAAATTGTAAATTTTATGATATATATATATATATATATATATATATATATATATATAATGATACGAACCGCTGTTGGCTGACATTGTTTTTCCCTGTCGTCTTCCCGTCGTTGGCCTGGTGCAGAGAAAACTGCTTCCCACTCAAAGCCGAGAAGGCCCTTTGCCTGTGGAGGGTCCCTTGGGAGGCCCCACGGCAGCCAGCCGTGTTCCAGCCCCAAGAGTGGAGGGATTCAAACGTAGCAGCATCTTACAAGGTTCACGACGGGCCCAGGCGGCCAGACAACCCAGCGTCTCTTCCGGTGGAGACCAGAGCACAGACTTCCCCCGGGGCCCCGCCCACAGCCGCTGCGCGCGCACCTGCATGCAACTACCCAGCATGCCCTATTCTCGGGCACGGTCCTGGTGTACTTTTAACTCAGTGGGAAAAAACTCGTTTCAAAGTGTGGAGTCACAAAATTCACAATAATACAACCAGGCAGACCCTGAAGTTGCGTGTCTGCTCCCATCTCATCGATTCCCCACTCCCTCCCAAAGGAAACCAGTTTTATTAGTTTTTGATGTATTCTTCCAATCCCTATCTCAGGCACATCTATTACCATTTTCTCCCTTATTTAAAGTGTTGAATTCTTAATTTTTCTCTCTTGAGTTCCTCCTCATTTATTGTCACTTGTACCTAACTCCTCCTGGGACGGGGGTACTGGGGGGCCGGGAGGGGTGAGAGGGAGGTAGAGGCAGGAGAAGGGTGAGGGTGCCGTTAAGACCCTTGGAATGCAGGGACCTGGGGTTTGCAGACCTCTGATTGTCGTGGATCCCTTCGGTCAGGCTCTATACCTAAGGAAAAAGAATCCAGAGGACATTGTAAAGAGGGTCAGGCCTCCGCTAGAATTCCAAGATGGTTAATTAGACTCAGCACACAAATCCTCTAAGGGCAGAGGTCTTTTTTTTTTTTTTTTTTTTTTAGAAATAAGGATGTTGTTGGGCAGAAAACTGTGGCCCAAGGCAAAACCCAACCCAGGAGGATAGGTAGATATCAGATGGGTTGAAGTGGATGCAGGAGCTGGCAGGCCAGCACTGGAGCACAGCGTTCCTCCAGGTGCTCGGGGGCCTGGGGCCAGGGCCCGATGAGCCACATCATCTTCTGCGGAGACCTGGAAGGGAAGGTGATGTCAAATGTCCAGTGTGATCCAGCCACCAAGTCTCTGGACTTTTACCCCTGTGAAGACCGGAACTGTTCTGCCCACTGGGTGGGAGCCAGTCAGTCAGGGGGAGAGGGCTGCCTCAACTCCTCTCCTCTCTTAGCTGTGGCTGGGTTCCTTGGTGGTGGTGGTGATGTGTGTGTATGTAGAACAGGGGTGGGCATTGATAACAGAATACAGAGGAAGTGGGATAGCCAAGGGCTTTCCTGGAGGCCTGGGCAAAGCCTCCCACAGGGACCGGCCACCCTTGGTAAAGGACTTCGCGGGAAGTGACCTCACCTGGGGTTGTGGGGGCAGTCCTCTGGAATAAGGGGTGACTTCTGCCTTGGTTGGAACATCCTGGCTGGATGTTCATATCCTAAGCTTTAGGCAGACTTCAGGGCTGCCCAACAAGTGGGCTAAGAAGCAGAACGTATTATCTATAAGAACATACATGACAAGTGGGTTTATCCTGAATGTATCTGAATATGCTTGTTGGACAATAATTTCACTTATGTGGAGAATGTTGACCTTTTCATAGCCTGCATGTGGCTACTTTCAATGATCTTGCCTTTTGGAGATTGGGAACAGGAAGGTGGAAAGGCCATCCTCCACTCCGCTTCTGTCCCTCTACCCAGGACTCTGTCCTGCCTGAGGATTCCTGCCTGAGGAAGAGTTAAAGAGACTCCTCCCTGGGTTTGAGTTACGGCCTCCTCAACTGTGGGTAACAGTACAAACTGGTCACCTGGAGAAGGCCTCTCCCTTTGCTTGGGCCTGTATGTTTGGGGGAGAGTACAGAGGGCTTTGTGAGGAGGGTCAGGCGTCTGTTTAACCTTGACTTGCTTACTTAGATCCAGAACACAAATCATTGGGGCACCTGAGTGGCTCAGTTGGTTAAGCATCCAACTCTTAATTTCGGCTCAGGTCATGATCCCAGGGTTCTGGGATCAAGTCCCACATGGGTCTCCACACTGAGCCTAGAGCCCGCTTAAAATTCTTTCTCTCCCTCTGCCTCTCTGCCCCACTCATGCTCTCTCTCTTTCTTAAATAAAAACAAATTTAAAAAGATGTCTTAAACCTCCATGACCAAAGTGTCCAGGAGTATAGGTATAGGTTTTATTTCCTCCCATGTAAAAGTACCCACTAAGCCCCGTAAGAAAAGGGGAAAGGCAGAGGCACCAGGAGCTGCCCCAGTGAAGCCCGGTACCACCTGCACCCACGGCAGGCACAGGACAGAGATGAAGGCAAGTGGTGCAGAAGGTTGGTTGGTGGCGCTTGGCAGGCTGTCTGAATCCTGCCGGCCACTCTCCTCCAGGGGGCTAAGTGCAGGGGGCCTGGCAAGTGCACTGCCTGGCAACTCTCTCACAGAATGGGCAGGATTGGGCCTCAGGGTCTTATTGTCCCAGAGTTCAATCTCCTGGCACCAGTCAAGTTGCCTTAACTCATCCTGAAGTGGGAACAAGTCCAGAGACACGACATTCCCTCTGACAACTTAGGATTATACAGAAAACTTGCCTAGAGTCGTACATGGGAACAGAGGAACAGGAGCATAGCAGGTGCAGCGTCAGTCTAACCATTCTGTAAGGTGAAGAGAGGTTTTATTTCAGGGGAACGACAGCCCCGGAAGGAGGGGATGTAAGTGGCCATATGATGTCTGGTCAGGGAAGCCGAGGCCTCCCCATGGCCTGTGGGTGAGGGTTACAGCCATGCCATCGTCTCTCCTTGTCCTCCGTGGATCCAGGCAGTACGTGAGGAAGAGGGTTCAGGGCAGAGCGAAGGTGGGTCCCACAGAGCCAGCACTGGGAGAGGCAACGGGGGTGTGAACCAGATGGTTCTCCTTGGTTTCCTAGCTCTGTGAAGATGCAGATGGTGTCCTGCAAAAGCACATTTCTGTCCCTTCCTGCCAGACATCAAGACACCCTTCCTCCCCGCACCCATGTCCCCACTATCACCCAGAGTCCCTTATCCACTTCTGGTGGCAGGGAAGCCAGCTGGTTCTGGGTGAGGCCCAGCAGGGCCAGAGATGAGCGAGTCGGGGAGTCCCGGCTTAAGAGGAGGGGCTGGAGCTCCTCTGGATCCCTTCTGACTTGACTTTCAAACGTTGAACTTGGGGGAAGCCAGTGAAATAAGAAGCACAGAGGCGAGCCGAGGGAATATGATTACCCTCCTTCATTTGTCCAGTTCATTGGAGCAATGTGGGTCAAAAAATGCAGTCCTGGGTTGATGGGAGCTTTGGTCTCTCAAAGGGTCATAGGTAGCTATCAGGGAGGGGGGCTCCAAATGAAGAGAGAGGCTGTGGTGAGCAGAGAGGTGATCCCGACAATGCCTGGAACAGGCAGGGAGAGGTGGTGAGGGAGGAGGGGTTTAGGAAAGGCTCAGGGGAGAGTAGAGGCAAGAAGATGAAATGCAGCCCAGAGCAGCCCTCCACCCTGGGGCCTGAGCAATCGCAACTTGGGGTCCTGCTGCCTCCAGAACTCAGGTTTGGGCCCACCTACAAATCCTACTAATGACAATGGCGACCACGTGTGCCAGTCTCACTCAGTCCTCACAGCGATAGAATAAGGTAAGTGTTCTGATTTCAATTGTATACAGGAGGAAACAGAATCAGAGAGAAGCAAAAAGCTGCCTGAAAAGTCACACGGCAAGTGGTAAAGCCAGGGTTCCAAGCAGAGTCTGACACAAAACTCCACCCTCTGACCGCCATTACTCCATTACTGCACCTGCTGGGATGTTAGGTCACAGGGAGAAAGGAGCCCTTCCTTCCTGATGGCTGCTTGCCTAGCACACACAGCTGTGGCTGGGGGATGGTCGGGAGGGTGCTGTGTGCTGGGCACCCTGAGACACGCTATGGGGACTCTCAGAAGCCTGAGGTGCAGGGGCATTTTTTAAGAGCTTGTGTGCTACTGGGTTCTCCACAGAAGGAGACGTTAGGCAGTGGAAGGCGGATGGCCACTGGGGCCGGGGGTCTCGGGTGGAGAAGGTGGCCAAACAGGGAGGAGAGAGGAGCAGCCTGGACCAGGCTGACGAGGGAGGAAGAGGTGCTGGCTGGCTTTGTCACTGTTGTCTGGGACATGCCTAGGTCAGTGCCTGAGGTTCAAGGACTAGGGGCCATTTCCATTCTGAACAAATAGGGCTGGGCAGGGGGGTGGGGGTGGGCTGGGGTTGGGCTCCTTATGCTTTTTCTTGCTTTTGTGCTGTCAGGAGCTCCTGGCCTCAGATACTTATGGTTTGGTCCTCTTTTCCCGGAAATGATCAGTGATCTCTGAGCAGTACTTGTAAACTTGAGTATAGAAAATGGGATGAGAAGCTTTGACAGTGGAAGAAGCTTCTCTCTGGAGAAACCTCAGGGATCCGGACTGGCATGATGCAGCTTAGGGGGCTGACAGTGTCTAGGGTGCCAAGGGCTGTGACGGTCACAGAAGCTCATGGGTACTGAGTTGATGGACCTGTGATCTTGACCACTGCTCCTGTCCTCCCGTCCCTGCCCATCTGGACATAGAAGGTGTAGTAAGACCCGAGGCCTGGGGCTGAGGCTGAGGGCACTCAGGTGCCACCAGGGAGAAGAACTGGGCCAGGGCTGTGACCCTCATGTCGCCTGGGGCTGCACAAAGATATGGGGCAGCCCAACCTCCCAGAGGAGCCATCTGAGAGGCAGGGATAGTGGGCCTGAGCCACTTTGCAGGGGAGGAGATGGCTTGAGGTTGGGGTGGGTGTGGTGACGAGACAGAAGAGCTTCAGGTTTCTGTTCCCAGAGGACGACTGGTGGCCGTGCTGTGGCCAATGGCCACCAGGGCTGAGGTTGAAGCTGTGCCCACGGCACTACCAGAGGCCTGCAGGGGCAGAGTGTCTGAGCTCTGCAGGCCAGGCTGCCCACTGCCCACCCAGCTGTAGTCACACTGGCCCCGAGAAGGGGAGGGGGTGTCTCCCTCTCTCTCTCAGACACACGCAGAGTCCCGCACACAGATCCATCCTCATCCTCACCCTCCCCGGACGCTCCCTTTCACGCACAAAGCTATATCCAGGTTCTCTGGTCCACACTCCATTCCTCTCCTGGTTTTGCAGCGTCTGCCAGGTTCTGATCCCCAAACTCTCTCCTCTTCTGTCTCTTCCCAACGTGCAAGGGCTGGCAGTGTGTTCAGGTCTCCTCGGGCTTTGGAGGGTTGGTGATTTAACCCAGAACTACAGGTGGGGACACCAGGGGCCTGGACAGTGAGGGGGTGGGGGGGGCAGGGAGCAGGGTGGAAGCCTGGGTTGCTCCCTGTGAGGCTCCCTGTAAGCGGGCTGGGCCACTTCCGCCTCAGGGGCGGCAGCAGCTACTATCTTCACATCCCCTCTCCCAACAAACAACACATCCTCCCTGGGTGCGAGTTCTGACTGAGGTAGCAGGGCGGGCAGGGGGAC